GGCACAATCAGTTGATATATAGTTAGATATTAATTAGCATGGAACGGAGGAAAATGTGGAATTACAAGTATTTCTGGAAACATCAAAATTTTCAATGAGCAGTGAGAACACTGAGCTATGTTGTATCAAAAGTCATACATTGTAATTATTGAGATAGCTACATGGATCCCTTTTAAACAAATTGTCATTTGTGTCTGAAAAAGGAATGTGGGGAAAAGGGAATAGATCCAGAGAAACTTTGTCTGAATAAGTTGATAACTTTGTTAATTCAACCTGTGAAATTTGGTGCCGTTTAAGACCAAATATATGCAGACAAATGTTATGGTAGATTTTAGAATGCAAAGACACTTAAGAAGAATGACAACATTTTCTGTGCAATATTTCAGTAGTGTTCTTATCAGCACCTAGTAAACATCCGCAAGATACGTCTTACTATTTTCCTGATGAAAAGACGCATGATACATGTGTGACAAAGTGCAGAATTGTCATTACCGTTTTCTGTATTAGCTAGGGAAACTGAAGGAGTTTTGTCTTTGTTTGAAACAGTGAACTGAGATACAAAGCTCAAACATAGGGGATTTTTGGCCTAGGTAGTCTCTTTGCCTCAATCTATAATGATCACCAATCTATGATGGTGCCATAAAAACAAATGACAGAATTAGTTACTGGTCCTCCCTTCAGCTGCATCAATCTATCGTGTACATAAGAAATTACAACAAAGGGCACAGCTCCTAAATTGGCCCATCTCTAGGCAACATTTTAGTCCTTCTGTGAGCCAGTGAGTAGAACCTGAGGTCAGCTGGATTTGAGAACACTATTGTGCAGCAAGCAGAAGGGGAATGCTGATGAATAAGAAAAAAGGGGGGATTGTGAAGCAGTAAATGTAGCGAGAGTGTTATTCTGGATTACCATATGATGCCTTGAAGCCCTTTATAGTCAGACCTGAACATGTTCCTGATCACTTAAGATTACACAGAAAGAACTAATTAGTTCAGATAGTTTCAAAGGAGACCAATTAATATATTTAGATAAGGAAAGATTGTTCTCCTGCATACACTGAGCTACATGTTATTTCTCTGTCAGCATTGAAGTACCTCGTATGTGTATATCGTGCTAATTGTTTTTTATTTCTATATATATGTTTATACACGCATATACATGTATATTTATATGCAGAATATGCCCCTTTCCATGGTCAGTTAAGTTCAGTGGTTATTTGCAAGACTATAATACATCTTGGGTGTTCTGGCTAAACTAATACTGCCAAAATTGTCAGCAAAAAGACCGGAAAAGATGATGAACCTTAAACTTTTCCCCAAACAACTGCTCAGTTGTTTCTTCGGGATATAGAAGAGGCAGAAAGCCTAAGCAAGAGGAGTGGTAGGAAACCAGGGAGGAAGGATGGAAATTGCTGTCTGATGTGGATTTCACAAACTGCTGTGTTTAATCTTTTGGAGACCCTTTAACAATAATCCATGTTAATTAGCATTTTAGGAGTTTTAAGAGGGTTTTGCCCATAAAGCAAAGAAAACTCATACTTTAATTCAGTGCTTTGTTTATTCAGTAGTTTCTTGCTTTCATTTTGCTTAGGGATTTTGTGTTTTTATAAATTCCACGGGTAATATTTTAGAAACAGCTAAATGCCATTTTTGAAAGTGATTTTCTTAGTCATATTAAGATCTCCAAAGGTATGTACAACATAATGCCTAACAGTTTTAACGTGAACAAGGTGAAGAAACGGCTCTTCGGTTTCTCAGGACCAGTGTCACTTTTGCAAATGGGGCTTATGCTAACAGTTGCTTAGGTATTTTTAACTAGTATGCCATATAATTAAATGACTAAATATATGTTTAAAAATATATACTGCCATGTATAATTCTTATTCCCCTCTGTGGGTTTGTCAGGCCCACAGGTACAGCACTGTGGTTTGTGGGCTCTTCTCCTAGCAACTCCTATTAACGTCAGAATTACTTGGACAGCTGCATCTTCATACCCCACACTAAGAGTTTACTATTTGATGCTGGTTTATGTGTAGATTTCATATGCCTGTATCTTTGGCTATTCGTACCAACTCTACTTCAATTTCTTGTCATCTTGCAACCACTTTTAATAACAGCTTTTTGCTATTACTTACTGAACTTCCCTGCTGTAGTTATTCGTATTTGGAAAAAAAAAAAAAAAAAATGAAGATATGGTCCCTGCCCCAAGGAGGCTATAATTAAAACAAGACCAGCATTATAGAAACATATACACTAGCTGGCCTGTAACTGGATGGTCTGTTTAGTTTTGTTTTGACGTACTATACAAAGCAGCATTTAACAGATGTTGGGAAATTAGCTCTCTGAGCTTCTCACATAAACATACAGGAGAGATGCATGTGTTTAATAATTTCAATGATTAAATTAATGTGTAATTAATAGTGGGTATTAATGTCATCAGGCATTTTTTAAATGTTTGTGCCTATTCTGCTACACTCCGAGTCCAAAAAATACAGAAACTTCTCAATAGAAAGCTAAGTGACTCTTGTAGCAATGCTTTCTAGTGCAGTATTGATGAGTCTGTTCTCTTGCATAAAAGACATTGCTTTGTACAAGCCCACCAGTGGGGGGGGGGGGGGGGAAATGAAGAAATGTGTCAAATGTCTCATTACATACCCTCCATACTCAGTGTTGACAAAAAACCCCAAAACACACAGAACCAGACCAACCAAAATGGGCAGGTCTCCCTTGTTCTTTATGGCGAGCTGTCCCTCTCATTATAAGTAATGCTAACCTATCATGTAGTAAACATTACTATGGATGCTGCTAGCTCTACTGAAATAGCACACATCCAGCAAGGTCTTTCCACTCCTTCTTTTACCCAGGGGTATGCAGTATTTAGGATTAGACTCTCTTTTATGGCTTCCAGGATGAAGTCAAACCAGCATGAAGAGGGGAGCTAACAAACTCTGGCTTGCCTCTATATTGTGTACAAGAGGGGAAATAAGGAAGGTCAGGCAGAGAATTGAGGCAAGACCTGGGACAAAGCCTAAAACAGAACAGAATCAGAAGGTAATATTAGCTGACAAAATGACATAGAGATTTCCTAATTTCCACTTGTATTTAATATATTTTTCATTTCACATCTGTATTTTTATATTGTATCCCTCTTAGTTTAGTTTTCATGCATTAAAATGTCTTAAGTATTTCTAAAGCAACAGCTATGTTTTTTTTTCATCCCCCCTCAAATTAAAACAGACGTGCAATATTAATTTAGGGTGAATGGGTACAGATGTTATCAAAATCACCCTCCACCAAATTTTCCAGTGCTTGGATATTTTCTTCCACTGCTGTGTGGAATTTCTTACTGTAGTGTTCTCTGTGCATTTCTTTTTTCCTTTCCCCCCCCCACTCCTCCCAAGATGTTTTATCCCATTACTAAACCTGCATATGGCCTCCTCCTCTGATCAGCTGTCTGAGCAAAACCAATACTTTATGACAATCGCTGAAAAGCAGCCTACGAAGATACTGATGTGATTAGGATAAGGGGCCAGGGACCTGTGCTGAGTGCTAGAAGAGCACTTTATAACCACAGCAAATCAGTAAGTTTGGGCTAGATGACATGGCAGAGGAGAAGTGATGTGATGTGAAATATGAGTTGGAGAAGCATGCAAAAGAGAGGGAAATGAAAAGGCAGATTTAAAACTGGATTTTCATTTTCCGATCCTACTGATGGGTGAGTTATCACGTTAACTAGTCAGCTTTTCTTTTCTGACTCTTTGAATTCTCTGTGCCTCTTCCTTACTTCAATATTATGCTGCTAACACACAGATACGAGTTCTCTCTGTGCCTCGGGCCTATGAAAAGCTATATTAGCACAGCACTAAATCTGAACTAATGCACACTGTCCCTCAGCAAGGACTAATAGCTCAGGATCAGCTTCATGCTAACAGCTTTTGAGCTGCCTGGAATGGAGTCAAAGTGAGTTTTATCTTCCCACTATGTACTTTGTAGAGCTATCCATATGGTGTCTAATTTGGAAGAAGCATTAAAAGCTTTCCTAATACATGATTTTGCTTTTCATTGCTATATGTCAAAGTGCTTTGCAACTGAGGTGAGCATCACTGTCCATATTTCATGTCATGTGATACTAGGACAAGCAAAATACAGTGTTTGCTGTTAGCTACACAATGGGCAGGTCTGGAGTATGGACCAGATCTCCACTACGCTACCCACTAAACCATATTTTGTCTCTAACTGGCAGTTGCAGGATTGTTCAGATTCTGCACTGATATTTAGTCCCATAATTCTTTATATTAAATCCTGTGCTTATTAATAAATGTCCACAGTGGTCAAACTGAAACACTGCGGTGTATTCTACGCAGCCTGATTTATAGTTTAGTACCTAGAAAATCAAAGCAGAATTATGTCAATCTATTGTGAAAATGTGCAGAATATTAATCTCTGTAAATTGGGGTAAGTAATAACAGTGCCCCTATAAAAACATGCGTTTGTTGCCACACGTCAGGTTTTACATCTTTACATATAAAGTGAAAGAAAAAGCTCCTAAAGATAATTTTCTCTAAGTATGTTTTGGTTACAAATTACTTAATGCTCCAATTAGCTTTAAGAAGTTGATTGTATGTGGTACACAATGTTCTAAATTCTTCTACCGTTGTTGCTTAACATTGTTTTCCAAAAACATGATAAAACATTAATGACATCTCCTAGCCCAGAATTCAATCCTGATTTAACCTGGTTATCTTTTGTGTCACTGTATCAGATACTCATTTGGATTTAAACATTTCAGATTATTTTACGTATATAGCAATAATTGCGCTGTATAGGAAAATGTGGTGCCATCATGTGGACAATCTAGGTAACAGCCAAATATCTGTATTCAATATTACAAATCAGCTGAATTATAAATAGATATTATGTTATATAAGAAGCTATGCACAAATCTGTGGTTTTAAAATTGTATTAGGTAATAAGAAAAAACGAGAATGGAGTCAGGAATTGTTGATTCAATCCTGTTTATTTTCCAACAGCTCAGGAAGTCTTTTCCCATGAGCACAGACTGATCAAAACACACCCAAGAGTCTCCAAGCCACTTTTAATCAGCACCTAATTCCAACACTACCTACTTCTGTATTCATTTCTGTATCTGTTTATCTCTTTGGTTTCCCTCTAAGACTTTACAAAGCTTGTTTTTGTACAGCCTGTGTTGCTCCTCTTCCACACAAATGCACACACAAACACTCCTATCCCTAACGCTAGCCGGCCAAGGCGCTCTGCCCACGCAGTTCTCATTCCTGCATGAGTTCACATGAAGCTTTGTTTCAGCAATGGTTTTGGTTTAAGGCCTCTTCTAGTTTCTTACATTTAACCCAAAGGAAAGAGACTTTGCCAGATTTGAAATAGCTATCCCTAATACCAATAAATGTCCACAATGGTCAAATTAGAAGCACTGCAGTGCACTCACACAGCCTAAGTTTTTCTAGTTTAAGAATTACAAAATCAAGCCAGAATTATGTCACTCTATTGTGAAAATGTACAGAATTTTAATCTCTGTAAATTGGAGTAGTAACAGTGCCTCTATAAAAATATGCATCATTTGCCACATGTCACGTTTCATATCTTTACATAGAAAGTGAAAGAAAAAGTGAAGTAAACAGTTCCTAGAGATAATTTCCCTCTTTAATACACCATCTATAACAGACCTGAGAAGGTTTGCTTGAGTGGTGTGAAGGAAACACTCTCCTCTTGGATATACTCCCCCAAAGTAAATCTGCATGTCATGGAACTGTAATCTGTCTCCTGCTCTGAGACCCTGTATGACAAGTGCTAGTTAGCTGATTTTGCAGTCTGATGATTTAATGTATATTGAGTAAAGGCAAGTACTTTTAAAGCTTTGCCAGTGGGTTTGAAACAGATAGTCTATTTGGGATAGAGCTTGAGGACATGTTTGGATCAGTCTCTTTTGGGAAAGTTTAGTGGGTTTGATTTGGTAAAATTTAAAAAGTTTCATTTGACCTTTGTGAACTTTGGAGATCTTTGGAATCCTTTTTGAGAATGGAGATTTATGTAGTACTTCATGCAGAAATTCACTTGCTTTATGCAGAAAGAGCTCACTCTTGTGGTACAGTAAGAAATGGAATATGCATATATATGATTTTGCTAAATGGATATGATGGAATGTCATACATTAAGAAGTTTCTCTGTGGTGGTGTTTCAGCTGTCATATATAGACAGGTAACTCTATGAAGTAATGACATCTCTTTTCCATGTCTTTGCATCTCATGCTTGGTTGATTTTGCTGTTTAAGAAAATGTGTATTCCAGCTGAAATTTTTACCATTCTTAGTCCATTTTTTTCATGTAGATTCTCTAGTGTCTAATTAGGTATGAACATAGACTACAATCTTTTTCTTACTGGATAAACTTACAGTATCTCTTGTTCTATTTCTACTTTGGCATTTATTTTCATGGAAATTGTGGGGACTTAATATTTTTTTGACAATATTATCTTGCTGTCAGACTTGGTAGCAATTATTATGGATTGAAAAATTTTGTGGGTAGGAGGCAAATGAAACATGGTGATGCATGTAAAACATTGTTGGAAGTCTCTAGTCTGCAACATTGAGCTCAAATTCTTGATTACTTGGCATTTAAATGTTTAGAATATATGGACAAATGTAAAAAAAAAAAAAAAAAAAAAAAGCCCCGCAGTTTATACCTTTTTAAATTAATTCCCACGAATCCAAAGCCAATATTGATATAGAGACCTCATTTGTGATTTTTTTTTTGTAATTGGCAACATTGTACTAGACAGAACGTGGAACCAGCTCAACAATGAACTTTCTTTCAGATGAACTTTAAATGTCAGAGTATCCCATGATATTTTGCACGAGTTTGGTCTTCAGTGTTTTGGAAACTGTACACTCACCCTTTTAAAAAGTGTGACACTGGTTTGGTTTTGGAAGAATTGGTTAAATACACTCTGAAGGCCAGTAATTTAGTAAAAATATATTATATTTCTTGGGTTCTGACAACTTTTGCCATTAGTGAATATGAAAATGGGAAAATGAACCCCTCCTGATTCATGAATTTTTGATGTTGTGCATGGTTCATCAAATTTTATTAGTTTTTGCCCACTATATAACCTTGATGAGTTAATGAGATTATACAATATTATTTACGGTAGACTTTCATTTCCATTTTCAAAACAAATGTATCTAAAACTAAAATCTGAACGATAAAAATGAGAATCAGAATCTCATCAACCTCTGTCAGCTGTAGTCTGGGGTTTTTATATATTCTATGTCTCTTCACAAAACTCATTCTTTCTGATCCCCGCTGGGTGAGGGCTGGGTCTATCAATCATTGTACTGTCTTCATCACCAGGATTTCCTGTAACAATTTCCCAGTAATTCTTATTTTCTTCAGCTTTATGGGAGTCTAGATAAGTGTGACAAATTACTTCATATTCTTTTCCAAAATAAGACCTGCAAAGTCAAAGAAAAGGGGATGGGCAGGGGGAATTAATATGTACACAAATTCAACAAATCTGCATTATTTGTGAATTTTTCAAGGTTTTCTCATGTTTCTCTTGGCTTGTTCAAAAATATCACCATGCACTTACAAATATCAGACCCTGACAAGAAACACAATAGCCCACATTGTTTCTTATGAATAATTTAAGAATTTGAAATCAAAGGAATTCAGACCTAAAGCAGCCCCATCAGTATAAGGCACTTCTACACCAACTCAGTATGTACAAGATGATTAGGTTCTCGTCACCATTTCTCTCTGAGGAAGACTGGGGCTACTTAATAACTGTTTCAGCCTTGAACTTTCAGGCCTTGTTTCATCCTCAAAAACGTGGTACAAATCTTCAGACAGATCTTGCTCAGAATTTAATGGGAAACAATTGGTATACCCCTTAACAATGCTTAATCAATATTAATTTAATGCATGCATATTAACTTGAATTGTTGGATTAACTTCAATTTGTTGAGAGATTGATTCATGTGGATATAAGCAACATACAGTTTTATTCAATATGTTCTAATTTAGTTCTCTTACTCCTTACACTTCTTAGTATACCATTTTTTTTTCTTGGAAAAACTCCAAACCATTGCAATTGCTCAGGATATTCAAAGGGAGAACCACCAAGAAACTAGAGAAGCCTTAGAAGCATGATATGATACGAATTTAAACCGAAAAAAAAAGAAAGAAAAAAAAAAAGAAAAAACATTAAAAAAAAAAAAAAAGAAACACCAAGACTGAGCTGATTGTCTGCAGCATCAGAGTGGCACACATTGCAACCCAGAAATAAAATAAGGGAAAGGAGAATGTGCATTCTGAGTTCTTTTTCATTTTCTTAGTGCATTCCTAAAGCACCTATCTTGTTTCTTACAGTAATTTTTGATGTTGGCACATCATTATGTACATGCCTGCCAGTTATAAATTATTCTTACCTTGTCCAAAAATTCCTTGGAACAGCTAAGCTCCGATTAGTATGGCAATGAGTAATAATAATTTTAGAGTTTGCCTGAAAAAAAAAAAAACAACCAAAAAACAAAAGAAGACACTTGACAGACATTTTTACACTAATTTTAACTATTCTTATTCAAATTAAATGCTTTTATTTATTACTTAGTGTAAGCCCACATTGCTCTTTATCACTCTGAGACTGCTGCACATTTATGGTGAGATATTTTGCACCCTACCAGTTCTCAACATAACTGTCTTAACAGTTTAGACCAGCCAAATGTTTAGCCCTCAGGTCAGACACATTCTCCTGTCCAGTACATTCGATTCCACTCCCTTGTGCTGGGCACTTTGAAAAAAAAAAAAAAAAAAAAAAATTCAAGCAAGTAGTAGAGAGTTATTCCAGTAGCCTGTGCCATCAGGGTAATTCCTCTTACAATTTACATTTACCATATGAGAGATCCAGATGGGGATCAGTCTAGAAATGGACCTTTACATTTTACTAATTAGCAATTTGTTATGTATAACAGAACTTTTAGTCACCTCACTTACCAATACTGTGAATAAAGAATGTTGTCTTTGACAATTACATGATTTTGATTGTGTTTATTAGTAAGCTGGTTCATGTAAATGAGTCACAGTTCAAGGCCGTAGAGGAACAGTTACATTTGTGGTATTTTGCTATACACTCAGCACTTTTGGAAGCTTAGCAGTTATGTGGAATATGAAAATACTGCATCTGCTTAAGGTATTTACAAAAGGTTAAAAACCACATTTTTAAAAACATTCACTCATTCATATGCCTTGGGGTTTTTTTTTTAATACTTTTTAAATGTAATGTACAGGAGCTCTTAATTAATCACAACTCTGGAAATGGAATTTAGTGTTCAGAAGTCCTGAAAAGCATATTCCAAGTGCATCCTTACAACATGATAATGTCAACCTTTCAAAAATTCTGATGAGAAATAGAGAGCAAGTCAACCTCAAAATGAACACCAGAACCTAATAGTTTTATAGGCAGGTTCCCTGTTTAAATAGATTGTTTCTTCCCTCTCTCCCTTCCTAAAATTACAGATCATAACTTACATAAGTTAAATATGTGAATAAAATGGACACAACTTTTTTTTAAGTATACCACCTACTGTTTCAATTAAAGCTTCATAACATTTTCTACAGTTTTAATTTCTTACAGGAACTGGAAATCCTTCATGTTCAAGACGCAACTGTGGATCCAAGAAGGTAGCTTGCCAGCAGGTCAAATAGGAACGCTCATCTGTCAAAAATACTTGCTGAAGGTAAGATTTTTTAGCAAATCTTATAAATGATTTATGGTCACTTGCTAGATATAACTGTAAATATATATGAAGGACAGTATAAATATAAAAGAAACAAGATATGTAATTTTAAAAACTATTTTTCAAAACAAAAATTTTCTCGACTCCTGAAAAATCAGTCAACCAAGCTAAAGCTACATATGCAAAACCTGTAACATAGGTTCTATACTGTTGATAAACTCATTAAGTAGCTATTTTATATGCAGACTGGTGAATGCTAATTTAAAATTGAATTTACATTCCAAAGATTCCCTCTCACCAAAGTGGTTGTTGAGAGGGAAGCTTTTTTCAAAGTTGTGGTGATTTATTTTGAGGGCATATGTAACATGCAGTGTCTTATTTGCTTCCAACTTGCAGAGGGAAATGTTAACATTTAAAAGAAAAGTGCTCCCTCACAATGATAGAATAGTATGTTACTTCGTATACCTAATACAGATTTATCTTCACAAGAAATTAAATCTTCTCATTTTGGATTTATTTAAAGTTAAAAAAAAAAAAATCTCCCTCTAATGATGAATTCTTTCATGATTCCCAAGCTAATTGTAACTTCCTTTTTTATTTTCTTTTTAAAAATCCCCCTTATCCAATCATTCTGGCTGACAGCCCACTTGGCCTGCACACCTGATCTCAGGCAAGTTGCATAAACTTTCTAAATAGGTATTGATTATCTTGATCTATGTATGATTCTGAATCTGTTCTGTAAAGCTAATATGTTGAGCCACTCTACAGCTCGAGAGTAATTAAATGCACACTATCAGTATAAGCTACCATTGCCATCTGCAACTTTATTGCCTTACCATTTGGTCAGAAAACCCTCCTGTTGTCCCAAGACCAAAGTTTTGCCCAAATCTAAGTGGTTCACCCACTGCACCTCCATCAACACTGTTAAAATTGTAAAAAGGAAGAGAAAGACATTCAAATAACCAGCTTTAGTATCCTTTTATTTTTTTGTTTTGGCCTATAGTTAGGTCTTGTGGCAACACTTTGTATTAAGTTTACCTTTAAAAATAGGTAAAATATCTTAGCTGAAAAGACACTTCATACTTGACTTACTGGTTAAAATATTTAACAGAACAGAAACAGACTGTATCAATTACTTTTTATGATGTATTCCTTAATATCCAGGGTGTAAAGATAACATCCAATGAAAAATCAATGGGAGTTCAGCACCAAGGCCCCCTTTAAAATATACTTCATACAAGCATCTGAAAAATCACACACTAAAAGCAGAATAGTGTGTGGTTTTGTTTCTCTGTAACTTATGTTACTAATAACTGTAACTGATATTCAATAATTTGGTTCATTACATCAACATACAAGCTGGTATATCCCTATTTTCAGAATGATTTCTGTATCTTATATTAAAGAAACACTAAATTAAGTGCTAAACTTTCTGAGTATATTCAGCATAAAAAACTTATGTAGCTGATGAAAGTAGTAGTCAGTTAGTGAGGGACTCAATAGCACTCAGTGCCAACGACCCTAAGATCAGACAGCAGCTAAGCAGAAATACTTTGGTTGAGGTTCTAGAAGGCCTAAATTATGTTCTTGGCATCATAATTCTTTCTTAGATTTAATACAAAGTGTTGCTTAATCAGGATTATATGCATTACTTTGTACTCTTATGCACTGTTATTGTTAAATACATGCACTCGGGCAGACCCTTCAACTATTGAGCCAGGACCCTGTTCATCTGTTTCTTCTCCCACAAACAGCTGGAATTATATATGTCTTTGAGAGAGAGAATATGAAGTTCAGTTAGGGGGGTTTTTTTAGGACAACAGAAATACTGTCTACTTCACGTACAGCAAAACCGTTGACACAAATTTCTTCTTCAGAGAGCTTATTTGCAGGAGAGTGAATAATACTAAGTGATATTTGGACACATTTTGTATTCTACAGCTGAAAAATGACTGCGTTAAAAACAGCTGCAGTTTACCAAATGATAAAGTGAACTAGATTCTGTTTTCACACCAGTTCTAAACTGATTTAAACTTACTTGGAATTATTCATAGTAAAATGTGGAGTAGAATCAAGCTTAATGCATGACCTAAGTTAGACTCTTAAATATATTAATCTTACTCAAATTCATTTGTATATTAGCAAACTTTGCTGCATATTTTTCAAAACAAGATACTGAAAGCTAAAATAATAATTGAAAACAGCACAGAATAAAGTACCAAACCTTAAAATACAAAAAGTATTTCGACCCATAGGGTCCACACTCTTGACTGCGCTAACTTCACAAGGGGCTTGCAGTGATTCAGCCGAATATATGGGTATTTCATCCAGATTAATTGCCAAAGTCAGATTGCCGCATACTCCAGAGTAACTCTCCACCAAGGATTTGTCATGTAGGTTCAAAAGCATCACAGTGTCTCCAAAATGAACATATCCATCCTTAGACACTGACAGCTGGATCTAAATGAAATAATTTTTTACAGAATTATCAAAACCTAACATCAGAAGTATTTTAGCATATAAAACACTAATTCATAGCATTCTTAATGGATAAAGAAAACTAGTAACTATGCCACTCTCTGTGGAGTCATAGAGGATTGACATAATCTTCATAAAAAATTACCTTCTTTAAAAGGTTATCTTGAAGTTTGTTTATTTTCTGTATTAAAAGTTCCCCTCGTTCTCTTTTATGCATAAAATCCCTGAAGCGTTCCTGCTTGCAAAGGAGAGATGGGCAGACATGTTATCCAGCACTCACAACGTCGGGTTTAAACTGATTTTAAAGAATTAGGGGGAAACACCGTGAGGTGAAGAGGCAAGCGAGGCTCCGCGAGAGCCGGGCAGGAGAGAAGGATCCAGCTCCACCCCTACCTCCTCCAAATACGCGTCCTCGTTCCAGTTGCCGATGAGCACCCCGGGTCTGTACGCGGCCATGGCCACCGCCGAGGCCGCACGGCGTTCGCCGTCGCCATGGCGATCGCTCTAGCTAGCGATTGGGCGCTGGAGGGGCGAAGCCCGCCAATGAGCGAGAGCGAAAGGCAGGGGGCGGGATCTTAATACACAGTGGCAGCGCGGCCCAAAAGATGGCGGGGGGGGTGGAAGGAGGCGGTGCAGCAGGAGGGGATGCAGAGGGGGTAGAAAATGCAATAAACGATAAAACCAGTTCAGCTAAGCCGACTGGCCTTCCTTGGGCATTCCCAGCGTGGGTAGGGTTAGTGCAAATGGCACACTGGCAGACAGCAGCAAGCCTCTCGAATTTGTGTGGTCTTAGGAGCACCCGCCTGACCAGGATCTAGCAGGGAACAGCCTCTGCAAGCAAAAAACAAACAAAAAAAAAGGAAATCCAAGTGGATTTTTTTGTGGTTTGCCCAGTCTGACAGGCCAGAGCAATTCAGCTGAGCCCCTTCTCTTCCTGCAGGGATGTGCTGAGGGGGGCAATGCTGCTGGTCCCAAAGCAGCTCCTCATCCCACGCCTGTCCGAGGAGTTTCTGGTCGCCTGGCTTAATGCCTGCACCTTTTCAGGTGTCATTGTACATGAAAGTGCTGCTGCTCCTGGTTCAATTCTGTGATGGTATAGTTGTACAGATGGAAGATGCTGAAATTCAAGAAATTGAGCCAAGCTATAGTCTTACCATGGGGCTTTATTTACAATCAAGTAGCCTTTTACACTCTGTCAAGGAGGTGCAAGAGCTTAATGCAGCACAAATTCATGACATTAACACTACAGTATTGGGGAATATTGTGGATTATAGAATAGTTTTGGTTGGAAAGGTCCTTTTAAGTTCATCTAGTCCACCCCCCTGCAATGAGCAGGGACATCAACTAGATCGGGTTGCCCAGAGCCCCGTCAAACCCGTCCAATGTTTTCGGGGATGGGGCATCTACCACCTCTCTGGGAAACGTGTTTCACCACCCTCATTGTAAAACAGTTCTTCATTATATCTAGTCTAAGTAAATGCATTGGGTGGATGTTTTGATTACAAATGTTTTTGTTTGTTACTCTTTTAGTTTTAAAATATGCTATGGCAAAATAGGCTGAGTGAACATACTGTGTTTACTTTCCAGATAGCTTATGCCAATGATTTTCAGTGATGCCGTAGATCCTTGCACAGGACATTTTAATCCCTTTATAACTGTCATGGTTTTCTTACAAGCTTACTATTGTAAGGTTTCAATGCTGGACAGCTTAAAAAGCTTAAAAGAAAATGTTTTTTGTATGGGAAGCTGGGCTACATGTTATCATCAGACAGTTTTGACAGTAATTCGTATGAAACCTGGCTCTCTTACTTTTGTTTTGTTTTATTTTTTAAACCAAAAGTTATTATACAAAAAGTTATTCAGCTCATCCCAAATACAGTCCATTTTTATTCAACTAGCACCACTTTGTGGTCAGTTCTGGTAAGTGACGCTTTCCTCTACCTAGCTGTTAGAAGTAATGATGAAATTGTTTAATTGAAATAGGGAACAAACTTTATTCATCTTAGCCAAATATCAATAGCCAAACAAATTTTGGAAATATCAGGTGTGATTTGAAATCTGGAGTGTTTTCAGAAAAAAAATATTTAGTTAATTTCCTGTGTTGCTGGTAATTTCTACTTAGCACTTAAAATTACATTAATTTCACAGAGCTAAGGTTTGGATTAGGGTGACAGGTATGTAAATGATAAACGGAATTTATCACACTTTTGTTCAGAACTGCATAATATATTTAGACTTAAACAATTTACTTATATTTATCTCGATACGCAATGTATAAGAATTTTCAAATCTTGATTATTTTGTTTCAGAATTAAGTCACTTTTAAATGAATATTCAGTAATAAATCATTGATATAAAACTATGTATTATATTCAGCCATATTATTAAGAAGAACACGCGCACTCTGTCTCACTCTGCATGTAGCTAATACATAGAATCCACAGAAAACTTCCATAGTTTTGTAGACTTATGTACTGTCTGTACCTAGTTACTTATAGGTTCTGATGCAGATATTACAGAAGGAGGTATTTGTACTCCAAATGTAATTGTGCACAGAAATATCTCTGTACATCTCTCAGTAGGATTATGCTGTAACTATCCTTGTCACGTGGAAGGCTTCCATTTCTGATTGCATAGTGTTCAGTGAAAACAAACAAAAAGAGCTCTCTACAAACATGTTTGTAAATTGAACATCTTTTCTGCAGGAAAGGTTACAGGTTATTCAACTCAGCTCAGTTTTCTTTTGAGCAGATAAAAATCTATGTTTGCTCCTAACAGTTGTTTACATTATTAAATACTGTGAAGAAAACCTGTACTTGTGAAAGAATTGGGCTATGTTTTGTGTGTTAATTTATGTCAGCATACAAATTGACCAGACTTAAAGATCTATGTTGTCTATTGGAAACATTAGTATTTCTTTTTATTTTTTCTTTAAGTCTTTGTTAAATAAAATTATAGACAGTGTACTTTCAGAGACTCCTGCCCTACTGTTCTAGAGTTACAGCTTTTTCCCTCTTTCTCTTTTTCTCTAAGAGTACCAGGTAGTTGAGAAGACCAAAAATAGCATATATAGCTGTCTAAGCCATTAGTTTACATAAAAGGCTGGGCTGGTTAGGCTTTTAATTGCCTTAGGATTATCAGTAATGTGTGAGATAAAACATATTTTAAATGCTTTGGTATATAAATGCATTGGTATGTATCAGTAGTACAAATTAACATAGTTTAGTCAAATCTGGCAACAAGGGCAAGGTCTGAATGGATGTGAACGTAAATTAAGTCCAAGAAGGTGGTATGCCATCTTTGTTTAGAGGAAGTGGCAGAGCATTAAGTTTTTCTGTGAGCTCTTCCACTCATATATGTTCTTATTTCGTGGTGAAAAACGTGATTTTTATTTGTGTGACCACAAATACGAGAATATTTTTAATACATGCCTTTAATGCCTTGGGAGATTATCTGGTTTTTTCCTGTTTTCTGTTGTTTTTCCTGTTGAAAATTATGAATTTGCCAAATTTGATTAACAATACAGACTAAATAATACTGCACAAGAGTAAAACATGTTCTTCAGGATGATTTGTCTCCTTTCATTTTATTATTTCACACTAGCATTATTCTGACATATGCTATGAATCAGAGCATACCTATCATTTTTCTTTGCTTTTATTAGGCTTCTGGCTATTAAAATGATTAATCTGCTTGTTAATCATATAACTACAGTTTCTTATTCTAACCTATTCCCCAAACACTCATCCATTCACAGCACAAAATGAATGAAGTAGTTTATGCGATGACATTTAGGGATTGTTGTTTTGCCAGACACTTGCACTGATGTCTCCCACTTTGGCTGTGAATTTCAGTGTGGATTTTTCCTGTAATGCTTGTTGCTGAGGAGCAATCAACCTGTTCATAGTATAGTAATTTCTGAAATGTAGTAATCCATTAGACCTTTTGATCTACCTTTTACAAGAAAGGGGAGCAGGATGCTTACATGTTGTATTGGTAGTAAGTTTGCTGATGTAGCTATACAAGTGAAAAGCTTCCCGGTATTAGATCGGGTTGAAGACATCCAAAATTACTATGATTGCTCATTTGCTGTTTTATAACCAAAAGATTCTGCTAGAGAAAGAGGGAAGGAAGAGGGAATAATTTGCAATGTGCCTAAGACCCCCAAACAGTTGCCAATTAAAGTTTGGATTGAGTTATCTACATCTCCATGGTTTTTTCATTCTACTGGTCTCTAATTTAAACTTGTACAGAGCATGGCCTTTTGAGAAATTGTTGTATAATGGAATATTTTCTCTTCAGATTGGGCTGTTTTCATCATGACTGATCGTGCTAGCTATTTGAAGATTTTCTCCTCTGCTTGGCTAAATCATATTCAGAAGGTGGGCTTGAAAAAACATTAGAGCTCTGAATCTCTCAGAAAAATGTCATTTTAGGACCAGTAACTTATGAAAAGAATATAGAAATGTTAAAGTATGTCTCCAAGGAATAATGATGTCTTTTGAAAAGAGATTCATATTAACTCTGAAGAAGCTAGAATGCTTTAATCAGCAAGAAATAGCTCAGATGAGAACTACTGTGTTTATTAGCGCAAGCAGAAACACCATTAACAAAGCTATATTGCTTCTTATGTTTGTCTCTTCACAGGACTGTGTGCTATGTATGTCTACTCTCAGGCAATTTAAAAATTCTTATTTTTCAAGGTATGGAGTATTTGTCCAATGTATCGTGACCTGAACAATGAGACTGACCATGTCACTGGCTAGATTAAAGGTTTATATTTAATTTGCAGTATTTAATGTATGCGATATGATCTCAGCTGACTTCTTTTAAGTACTACTTGCCAGGGACCTAGTTGAAGAGACTTTTGTTAAGTGATGTTCCACCCTACTTCCAATATATTGAGTGCATTTCATTTCCTGAACTACAAAGTTCTGTCATCACTCACAGGCACTGACACAAAATCATTGTGGGAGAGGCGTGGTCCTATTTATAATGAGTGGAAATCAGGTCATTGTCTCTCTTGTTTACTGATCTGTTTAAACTTTGGTTTCCATGAATACTCATGCTTGAGATTTTGAAATTTGCTTTTTGCTAGCGAGTTTTACATATAAAAAGCAATAACATGATTGTCTGAAGGGGGTGGGGGGAAAGCCCTAAACTTCATGACCTTATCTGACTTTGACTGTGGGGCTTGTTTAAGCATGCAGTCCTGCCAGTGTGAACCTACTGCTCCTGAAACTGAGAAGCAACATTTTTGAATGACCTTTTGTGAACCCAGATCATTCTGTTTCTTCCCACTTTAGGGCTATCTATAGATAGTGCTTAGGGTTGCCTTTGCTTTCCTCTTTAGCCTTGCCTGCAGTATGATCCTTATC